TTTACTAATTGCTGCTTTTTAGTTCCTGTATCGGCCCTTTATTGGCGGTTTGGGTTCTTCAGTTCATATGACTGTGAAGTTTACGTCCCAATTACTAGCACCGTTATATTCTTCTATGGTATGGACTTTTACAGGTTGAGGCGGCGCCCTTGCCCTTGGAGGCTATGCACCTCTACTAGTGGACAGGCAATGCACCGTTTTCGGGTGATTTGAAGGACAACCGAAAAAAAGAGGATTAAATCGATCATAATTTTATCTTCGAGATCTAAACGGAAAGCGTTGATAAATCGAACACATCTGTTTTGTGAGTAAATATAGATTTTGTTAGGGATTAGGCCTGGGAGAGTTTTACATTATACAGTACCCCCAGGTCTCAAGTTCATTGTAGTCTAGTGTTACATTGCTTCCGAATATTTCCCTGGCCTTTTATCTTTTGGTTGTAATATGTTTTTACCACGGTCTGATTTCCGCAATATTGTCTTCCTGATAGGTTAGCATTAGCCCGATTTCATTACAGTTCCTCGGATGGTCAGTAAATATTCGCTGGTATAGTCTGCACTCATTAGGTCGAGCCCTAACTACGTAATCATACATTTACATGTTGCCTGTGATAAACTCCGGAAGACACCGCTAATCATTCCATACGACTTTCTTCGTTTTAGACTAAACAAATTAAGAAGGATGATCTGCAACAGGTCAATCCACCTAAATTCATAATGTGTGAAGACATGGCTGATCTTACCTACCTGAATGACGCCTCCGTCCTGGAGAATCTTCGGGCCCGCTACTACAAGCAACTCATCTACGTACGTTAGTTTGTTCCATTATTTGGTTGCTACTTATTACCATTCAGTATACATTTTTATTAAAGTTCATATTGACGCCTTTGTGTCTCAAGCCTTGACAGTTGTGTTTTTATTCCCTATATAGACCTATTCGGGGCTTTTCTGCGTGACAGTTAATCCCTACAAACGCTTCCCGATCTACACGTTTGAGGTCGCGCTCAAGTACAAGGGAAAGCGAAGGGCTGAAATGCCACCGCACATCTT